TATATATATATATATATATATATATATATATGTATGTATATATGTTTTGTACTGCAAAGTCAGCAAATTGGCAGCAGGTAGAGAAGAAATATGCTTCTTCTTCTCATTATACTCGTTTAAGCTGCCAGTAGAGGAGTATATGGACTCGGTTCAATGGGTAAAACTATATATTTTATAGCTGGCATTGGATAGTTAATATACCAATAATTAGGTGTATATACATATGTGACTGTTGGGGGCGTGGCAAATCGGATTAAAATAAATAAATACATATACATATATATACACATATACATAAGTATATGGAATATTCTTGCGCCTGGCACAAGTATTATGGAGTCAGTTACACCCTACTGCGACACTCCGATTTGTTGTCAACATGATTGGACTTGCATGTTTGACAGAACCTGAAAATACGTAATAATTAACGTTTCACATAATTTGTACGTGCATATTTCCCATATTCCGTCATTTCATCGTGCGCCACGTGCGAGGCAAATGGACAACGTCGTCGTCTTTTTGGTTTTGGCTTAGTTTTTTGTTCTTTTGGCTAATGAAAATAATCTGTCATCAAAAAGCGTATGACAAAGGCAACTCCCTTTGATAGCGATGGGCACAGGTGTAGCTAACCCACCGCACCCATCTGCTCCACCTTCAGCCACATGCAACATCAATTACACGGCACACGCCCCACCCCCCTTCCTCCCGTCTCACTCCCTTTCGCTTGATGGATTCGGTTGACTCCCAACTATTAACTCTATGTGGAGTAGCTAAAAGGGTTGCGATTGCAGGAAATTGCATTTGTGTGGCCAAAATCAGATAAGATACAGATAGCAAATGCTTCATGTCCTGTGTCCTGTGACCTGCGTCCTGCGTCCTCTGCCCAGGATATCACATTAAAAGCGCATCAAGTTGAGCCGAAGCCGGCAGCCAAAGGCGCATCCAAGCAGCGGAAACTGTTGCTGTAATTAGATTGCACGAACAATCGAGAAGAAGGAAAAAGAAATCATCAATTGGATAGATTGGGAGCCACAACGAATATTGAATGCTCTTGCCTATGTGTGTAGTTGGAGCTGGTAACAAAAAGTACCATGATATAAAAATATTATAATTTAAAAATAATTAAGAATTCAAATTCTATTTAATTAAAAATATATTGAATTTTAAAAATAATTCAAAATTCATGTAAAATGTATACATAAAAAATAAATTTATTTACATTAATTTACACATTAAATAAATTTACATAAAAAAATATATTTATTACAAAAATAATAATAATTCAAGAACCATATAATTATTTAATTAGAAATTTTACAGCACTCTAAGGATTATAAATTTAAAAAATTAATAATATATTTGGTATATTGATTTTTAAATATATTTTTATAATACTCGCATATACATATGTACTTATTTATTGTCTATAGGACTTACATACATATATGCATAATATTTCAATTATTATATTATTCTTATATTTATTTATTTATTTTTATATTATTTTCTAATATCTCACATCCTTATTTATTTATTTTTATAAATTCATTTTTTTTTTCATTTCATTTTTTATTTTCCTTAATACATCTCATTTCCTTATTATGATATTTTTATTTATTTTTTTATTTTCTTTAATATCTCACATTTCTTTATTTTTGTACATTTATTATTTATTGTTTTTATATTTTTTCTAATATCTCTCTTTTCTCTATAAAGTTATTTTATATATATTTATTTATTTTTATATTTTTTTAAATATCTCTCATATTTGTATTTTTTATTTTTATAAATTTATTTAATTTTCTATTCCCTTTAATATCTCTCAATTCTTTATTAAGTTTTTATTTATTTATTTATTTTTATGTTTTCTTTAATATCTCGCATTTCTTTATTTATTTAAAAAAAAAATCATGTGATTTTCTATTCTCCCTAATATCTCTCCATTCTTTATTAAGTCATTTTTGTTATTTATTTATTTTTATATATTTTTAATATCTCTCATTGCTTTATTTTTTATTTTTGTATTTTTTCTAATAAAATGCATTTCTTTTTATTATTTTTATTTATTTATTTACTTTTATATTTTCATTAATAAATATCATTCCTTTATTTCTTTTTTAATTAATTTATTTAATTTTCTATTCTCCCTAATATCTCTCAATTCTTTATTTATTTATTTTTATTTATTTATTTATATTTATTTATTTATTTTTATTTTTCTATTTTCTTAAATATCTCTCATTGCTTGATTTACACAAGCTGTGCTCAGTTCGCTGCCTTAGTCAATATACCCTGCACATACCCTCTACGCAGCCCATTCGCTGGTCATTTGCGCCCCATTCACCCCGCCCCATTCGGCTTGGTTCGCCTTTGACCTGCCTAGGCTCGACTGTTGCTTTGTTTGCGTCATTAAATTAAATATCCTGCCCTGCTCCAACGGGCGAAAAAAAGGACCTTCTTCTGCTTCGTCGTCGTCGTCGTCGTCGTCTTCTTCTTCTTCGCCATCCACGACAGCATCATCAGCATCGCCCGTGGACACAATGCGCGCAATTTCTGTCATTTCCTTAATAGAAATCTTATCTTTTGCGACGCCCAGGCAGGAGGCAGCCGCGCTAAGCCGGATATCGCACCTCTGACATCTGCCAGCGCGAGCGACAGCCGGGCTGAGTGGCAAAGTGGACACTAACGGACACAGGAATATGTGTGCTACGCCGATAGTATATAGGTAGGGCTTATACATACATATATAATAGCCTTCGTAGTAACACTCAAATACACATTTCAGACAAGTTTCGAATAAAATTCCATTTTCTAGAACTGAGCTGCAATCGTACCAAGGAAGAGATGAGCTGCTGCTGCTGCCAGGTGCGGAAGGACCCCTGCCGAACGTGCGGAGCTGCGCCGCTCGCCGTCAGCTGCTCTGGCCGGCGGGTGGGTCAGTGCTCGTTCACGAATGCGCTCACCCCCTATCCGGATGAGATCGTTATGACGATATTGGATCGTATACTCTACTTCTTTGGTGCCACCAAAATCTGCCATCAGCTGGGTATGAGGCGTGGGCCAGGCCTTGGCTCTGCGAGGTCTGTTCAAAAAATATCGAATAGCTCCCTATCTAATACCTTCTGGGTATATTAGAGCGGTTTGTTCTCCTTCCCCTTCTTCTTCATCCGTTTACAGCCGCAGCGGTACTTTTTGAACAGCCCTCGTATACTTAATTAATCTTCCTCGATCACAAAGTCTTGCTCTAATAGGCTTCACAACCCTACACTCCTCCGCCCACAGCCAGCCCCCCATGCAAATCTCCGCCGCCTGTTTGCGCCAAGAGCAGCTGCACCTCGGTCACCTGCACGTCGGGCCAAATGTCCAAGTGCAGCATGTCCAGCAGCTTGAGCAATATCGACGGCGCCAAGTTGACGGGCAACTGCAAGTCCAAGACGTCCAGCCTGAAGTCCAAGAGCTCTGTGGGCCCATCCACTGGCGGCTGTGCCGGACCGCGCACGCCGCACGTCGACTTTGCCCATCCCGCTTGCGATAGCAGACAGCAGAGTGTCGACTCCGTCAGCCTATCGGACCGCATGAAGGTGTCGCTGTCGAAGGCCTCGATTGCATATGGCCGGCTCAAGTCCAAGCTGTCCGCCAATCTGCAGCAGCTGGGCAAGAAGTGGCTGTGGACGCGTCTGGTGCGCTCCGAGAACGGCTGTCACATCTACGAGGTGTACAAGAACTCGGCCAAGGAGCCGGACTCATGCAGCATGTCGGGCGACAAGGAGCCGGTCATACTCTTTCTGGTCACGCCCAACGGTCAGGTCATGCCCTTCGAATCGCTGTCGAATCGCTAGAACCATATGTGTCTGCATTGGGTATTCGAAATTTCTGTATGGCAAATAGACATTGCATAGTTTACCGTTATACATGAGTAATTTATATATATATATATATATATATATGTTTTAGTGGAAAAGATTTTAAAAATATTTGAAATAAATTGTGAATGCTTATAATTATTTATTTATTATATCTAAAAATATAGATTAAATATTAAGTTTGACTCAATATAAAAATTAAACAAATTTTGAATACGTCAATATATAAGTAAGTACGAGTACGAGGTATCTTGTCGTCAGGTAACCCCTACGAAAACGCTTTTAATTATTATATATTGCATTACAACAAAAGTGAATTTGGAATTTTGGTCTAACAATTTATATATGAATGCATAATACTTGGTTGGGGACAGCATTTGCTGCTTAGAAATTACTTAAAAAACAAATAGAACTTCATTATGGTCATAATTATCACAGCAGCTTAGGCAATGCGAATGCCCTTGCGAAACAGCACATAGACCATGCCCATGCTGAGCAGCATGTAGAACATTAGTATGGCCACGCACTCGCCGCTGCTGCGCTCGCCCGGGTTCAGCGTTAAGTTGACGAGGCCCGTTAGGAAATTGCAGATCATGAAGTATGTGAGGCCGTTCAAATTGATAGTTTCCACTAGGGTGGGCAAAGGCGTCAGCTTCTCCGTCGGCGACATCAGGCAGAGCTCGAACAGAAACGAGCAGAGCAGCAGCAGCAGCGTGCCAATGCCGAACAGCCAAAGGACATAGCCCGCGTTGAAGGTGACGCGTGCTATGCCGCAGGGAAAGACGCTAGCGAAGACCAACAGCCAGGCCGCAGCTGTTACCAGCAGCATTTTGCGCAGCTTGATTAGGAACTGCCCATAGTTAAGCTTGTCCATGGCCTTGTACCACCTGCCGCCCCAGGCGCTGAGCAGATAGAGCGAGGTGCAGCCAGGCAATGCGCTCAGACCCTCGCGATTAGCGCTCAAGAAATTATCGCGGTTGCCTGGCGACATGACATACGCTGAGAGACCCTGCTGCAAGAGCAGCTCGTGAAGCACAAGAATAGCTGTAAATGATATCGATTAGTTTAGTTGGAGCCTCTAGCTACTCGACGACTCACCCAGTGACAACGGCAACAGCTGCTTGTCGGAGCGTGCGAGCAGACTGCAGAGGCTGGCCAACAGCTTGGTAAGGCCCAGCGTAAAGAACGCATTCAAATGTTTGCCGTATTCATGCTCGTCCTGCTGGTAGTTGATCAGCGTGATGACCACAGTGCGTGCCAAGCCAAGCAGCAACAGGGGAAAGACAACCTTCAGCACTCGCCTTATGTCAGCCAAGTTCTGGGCACGCTGCGAGACCACGCCCATTGACATGACGAACATTCCTATGCCGATGTCCATTAGGGCGGCGCCATACTCACGACTCTTGCGCCACGCAATGGGGAAGGCTCTGAAGTCCACAGCCAAGATGACGCAGCCAGTGCAGATGTAAGACGCTGCTCTTAGCAGGGTTATTGCCGGAGGCTTCTTGCCAACCTCGTAGACGTGTGTAGCTGCAGCTTCTCGCCAAGTTCCACAGCGCAGGAGCAGCAGAGCGATCAATGTTGAAACCAGTATGCAGTAGTGATTATTATAGGAACTAGTCACTGTATTGCTGCAGACTGTGGGCAGGGCGATCAGAAGGAATTCCAGAAGGAAACGACACAGAGAACGCTGTGACAAGCGATGGCAGAGCAGCTGCGATAATGTGAGACCCAGCAACGTAGGCAATATTATCGGCAAAACACTTAAACTGTCTCGCAGTATAGCCCAAGGGCAGTAGGTCTGGCCCTTTCGCACAGTTTCGATATCCATCGAACTGCAGACAGGTTGCCCCATGTAGCTTTGGAAGATGTGAAGTGGCGCTGATAGCAGACATTTATCGGCGGTAACAAAGGCATCGTAGTGATAGATTTTAGTGAAAGTAGCTCCCGAATGACCCATAATAAACAGAAAATAGAGTAAGTAACCGGTCTTTCGGATAAGGTTTACACAAACTTCCAAACGCGTATAAACAAAACACTGCTGATTTCGAAGCGTTGCCACAGAGGCGGAAATTTACCAAAACACTAAATTCTAAACAATTAATCATCGCATCGTTTGCAAAAGCAGACATTTGTGATTTGAAGAAGTTGCCACTCTTATCGGATGCCGCCACAATCGAAATGTTATCGACTTTTAAAGGTGTCATATCGAGAGTCAGTTTACTTTTAAAAACAAATAAATGCATTGGTCAATCAAATCACAAAGCGTTAAGATTAAACTAAAGCTCATCATGCTGTGCTAGTGCTGCTGTTGCCTGCTGGTAATCCTTATGGGCACGCACCGCTATGGCTGCTTGAGTCACCAGGCGCTCAAACTCATCCGCGTCAAAGCGATAATTGGTGAATTTGGCATGGGCACCGCCATCCGGATGGTGACCCTCATCCTGTGGATAGACCAGATCGCGATGCTCCCAGGTGACATAGTGTACGCCACGCAAGCGTGCCAGATCCTTGTAACAGTTGGGATCCTCGCAGTTGTACAGCTCGAACAGACAAGCCCAATTGGGCAGAAAGAGCAAATGTGTCAGACCCGCGCCATGCATGCCAATCAACATGTCCGAATTTCTTGTAATCTCCAATTGGTCAACAAAGGAGATGCTGTACGAATATAGTCCCATGAAATATAGAATTTAAAGTGTTTATCCATGTTTTACCGTTCGTATGAGACACGCTGTACTTCGTAATCCTCATTGGCTTCAAGTCTGGCAAGCAACTCCTGCTCGTTGAGCACCTGTCTGTACTTTGTGCGACGAGATAGATAAGTGATGCGCAGCTTCCTTACTGGCGGCGGCCTGTAGGGTATCTGCAGTCGATGCAAAATGAACTCAGAGAAGGCGCGAAAGAGTCCGCTGTTGGAGCAACCCTGGATCTGTGGAGAAAAGAGATAGGGATTAAGATAAGATAATACTGCAGCATTGATCACTCACAATGGGCGTATTATAGAAGAGGCCAAAGATCATGCGCGGCAGAAGCGGCAAAACAAGATTGCGGAAACAAATCCGTTTGCCCTGCACCTCGCTCAACGTCCAAATGGGGCGCTGTGTGAAAGCCTTGAACGTGTCCCGGAAAGGCGAGTCATACGGATATGTTTCCCAGATGATAATCTGCACATCTGTGTTGAATGCAGCCGGATGGGACTGGTTGACAAAGAGCGAGGCATACAGATTGAAGAAATCGCAGAAATGGTGATACATGTTATAAGTGGCGTCGATCTTCATGATGAAGGTGGGCGCGTTGACGACCAGGTCGCAGGCTCCGCTCTCCAGCACCGGCTGGGGCAGAACATCGAAGTAGCGCAGCTCAGGCGCCCACGACTGCAGCGCCGAGCCTATGTGATCCATTTCGCCCTGGAGACGCGTGCGATTCAGCTCGCAGTGGCCCAAAATCTGGCCAGGCTTCAGCACGTCCATGTGGTATCGGATGCGCTCCTTGCGCTGCGGCAGATCGCGGAGATCGATGAGTAAGTTGCGACCACGGCAGAAGCGCAGGTAGCGCGTGCACTCCAGCGAGGAGTCCGACAGATACTTGGGCATGCATTGCGGCGTCAGTTCCGACAGTTGCTGCTGGATGAAGCCGAAGTCCGCCTGGTAGTAGAAGGTCTGCACCTGCGCCTCCTTGCTCTGCACCCAGCCGGTATGTTCACCGGGACAGTGAGGCGTCTGGAAGCGCGCCTCGGCGGTGCAATTGCGCTCGTGTCCCCAGCAGGCGGGCGACTCCACGCGAATCTCTTCCACTTGTTTCTTGAGCTTGGGAAAAGTGTTGAGGTAGCGTATGAGATGATCGGATGGCAAATTGGGCAGCTTCACCACATCCGAACTGCTTTGGGCAAGTATCTGGCTCAGCTGGAGCGCATTGAAGAGTATTAGCAGTGGCAGCATCCTTACAAGACTATTTTAAGTACATTCGTTTCGTTCACTGAGCTTTCTCGTTGCAGCTCTTCACATTTCACATCAGCGGCTGCATTTCATGGCCAACAATGGGCAGATGATCTCACTTGTTCGGCTGATAGATGATGATTATGATTTAGTTAATTCCAACGACAGCAGCCGTCGCGCTCGTCCATCAAAAAGGTGCTACATGCCAAGACGAAGAAAGAGAGGTACAAGAAAAACCTGCTTGGGACCGGCAGCTGTTCGTGACAGCTGTTCAAGAGACAGGGTGGCCATACCATGCAGAATTATAAGCAAACGCGATATGAGAGACTAGACCATATTATAACATACAACATCCATACATAGCTCTTCAATATGCAATCACATATACATTAATTACAAATTCCTTGAAGTGGTTTCATGAACACTGCAACATCATAACACACTCTGACGTCACACATGCCTGAGCAACTCGACTGCCCATGCTGCCACCTTGTGAAATACGCGCATGTGTCTGTGCGAGCAGCTGGTCTCATTGCAAATCACATTTGACTTCTTGAAGGGTATATATTTTTCTTCTGCGTATACATTTTTAATTAAAGCACGCAATTAAAGCCAGAAAAGGCGTTTAATTGCAGCCAACTACAATGCGTAATGTGCCGAAATCGTAAGTATTAGAATAAAATACAATATTTTCAAATGATACGTTATGGAAATTTGCCCTACAGACTCGGCGTATTAGTTACAACACCTGGCGGGAGCGCAGCTGGAGGAGGCGCCACAAACAGTGGCATATCGACAAGTGGCAGACACAATAGCTTGGAGGACATCAATCTGGATCAATTTCTGAAGACCATCAACTATGAGGACACGGTCAAGCAGCTGGACATTTACTATGGCATCGGTAATTAGCAAAAATCAAACGGAAGCACCATTCTCTATCGAGCTGCATTCGTTTTATATAACCTTGGCGGCGTCTGTGTAGGGCAGCCAATTTAGCTTTAATTTACTGCCACGATGCGACGCAGCGCGTTCTATTTATAAATAGTTCGCAATGTTTGCCCCTAAATAACGGCAGCTGTTTGGCCAGCGTCTGCGATTTGTTGCTCTCCCTCCCTCTGTATTCTGTCTCGCTCTCTCTCCCTCTCTCACGCGCTCTGATCGCCACGGCAAATGAACGGTTTGTTTATTTACATTTGTAAACAAAGTCTCAAAGCATGCTGCCGCGGCATGCGTGCTAAAGCCATTGACACTTAACTAAATTCTAATTTATATATGATAGCGAGTGTATGATGAGTATAAGAGACATACACACAGAATTAGTTCGTGCTAATTTCACATTGTATTCTCCTAAGTCATCTCCTGTAGAACGAGCAACACATGCTTACTTTAGCTTACTCTCTTCACATATGCTAGTAGTTAGAGGGAGATGGGCGCACTCCCACTATTTAATGACTCTGACTCTGAATGTCACCCAGACGTGGGCTTGCCTACTCTCCCTTGCTCTCTACATACATATACGTGAGCGATAGTAGCAACGCACACACTCAAAGGTTTGCTGTCGCTCCTGCATGATTGATGCGATGGAATGTATAAGAGTGTGTGTGTGCTTGAGACGAAATCTGTTACATTTATTTATTTGTCTGCTGTAATTTGAATACCTCGTTCATGAAGGTGGGTATATTGACGACTGATTTATAAATATATTTATTGCTTAGTCCGTCGCAGTCATATATTAATTTTGATATTTTTACCATTCTCCCACCTTTAGTTAAACGCCAACTGCTGCGCTACCAGAGCCCCATCACTGGGCTGTTTCCGGTGATGAGCACCGACCAAGTCGTGGGCTCGGTACGGGACAGTGTCTACTGTGCAGCGGCAGTATGGAGCCTGTATCAGGCCTACAGGCGCATTGACGATGATCGCGGCAAGTCCTACGAGCTTGGCCAGAGCACAGTCAAGTGCATGCGCGGCATTCTGGAGTGCTGGGTGAAGCAGGCGGCGAGGGTGGAGCTCTTTAAGCAGCGTCAGTCCAATCAGCATGCGCTGCACAGCAAATTCCAATTGCACACGGGCGAAAAGATATATCCCGATGAGTTCTACAATCACTTGCAAATCGATTGTGTGAGTAGGAAATGCAGTACTTGACTCACCGAGGCTTGACTAACCGAGATACCTTTCCATTGCAGGTCTCCTTGTATTTGCTGTTTCTGGTGCAGATGATTACATCGGGACTGCAGATCATATACACGCACGATGAGGTGGCCTTTGTGCAGAATCTGGTTTACTATGTGGAGCGCGCGTATCGTACGCCCGACTTTGGCATGTGGGAGCGCGGCTCCAAGTACAACAATGGCACTCCAGAGATACATGCCTCCTCCATAGGTAGGACAGTTAATTTGAATTGTAGATCGTTACTGATCATCTATATTTTAGGCATGGCCAAGTCCGCTTTGGAGGCCATCAACGGCTGCAATTTGTTTGGCGAGAAGGGCGCCTCCTGGAGCGTCGTCTACGTAGATATTGATGCGCACAATCGCAATCGCAGCATCTTCGAGACGATGCTGCCGCGTGAATCTAGCTCCAAGGCAATATATTCATATATTACTATACATATCAGCCTATGTAAAACCTCTCCCTCTTTTAGGGCGTGGATGCATCGCTGCTGTTGACACTGTCTTTCCCAGCGTTTGCCTCACACGAAGATCGTCTCGTTGAGCAGACCAAACAGAATGTGGTCAATCGCCTGCGCAGCAAAATGGGCTTCAAGCGCTTCACCCGCGACGGCTTCCTCAGCAAAGCAGAGGACAAAACGCGTCGCTATTACCAGCCCGGCGAGCTGAAGGAGTTCGAGGGCCTTGAATGCGAATGGCCACTGTTCTTCATAACCATGATCATCGACGGCGTCTTCAAGAACAACAATGAGCAGATTGAGGAGTACCAGAATGATTTGCGCCGCTGCCTGCACACCGATGCCAACGGCGATCCAGTCGTGACCATGTACTATGCGCCCGACGGCGAGGGCTCCTATATGCGTGCGCCCTCGCAGTCCCTGTTTCTCTGGGGCCAATCGTTCTTCATCATCGCCCAACTGCTGACAGCTGGACTGCTGCACATTAACGAACTGGACCCCATCAGGCGCTATTTGCCCAGCTACAATCGTCCACGCCGTGCGGGTCGCTACTCCGCATTTCAGGTAAGTTCATGGCGGAGCGGGTAGAGGGTACTTCTCACATATCTATCTATGAACATCAATCACTGGCCCGGGATCAGGGGCTCAGCTATCTGCCAGCGCCGCCGCTGCTGCTCTTTACTGTGTGTCTGCTGTGTGTGTCTGCGTTCGCTGTCTAATTGGTATTCGAATTGATTTGTAATGTTCTCTTAATCTCCTTACCATGGGTTACGTATTTGAATTGGCTATTTAATACTACTTATACCATACACATACATACATATAAATCGTGTACATTTTTTTTACTACCACGTACATACTACTGCTACAATCGAAAACGAAATCAAAAAACCTTATCGTACTTATCCACAATCCCTAAAATATTTCTATTGGTTGGCATACAATATTATAAACAGGGCAAAGCTTTCGATGATAAACACAAAGTAAGTAGTCCCACAAATTCCATATGCTACAAAATTACTCGCACCCAAGTAGAACGTCATAAGCGATCTATATACATACATATGTTATCCAAATTTTTTGTATACAAAATTTATGCGCTTTTTTTTTTAACTTTTATCAGTTGTTTCTGCACATTAGAATAAAAATTCTTATCCAAATTCAAATATTTGGCGACACACACACACCAAGCACTGATCGAACTATGCATATGTATATATATACATTGTATATAGAGTACATATTCGGCATTATAACGATCCATCCCAGCAGGAATTTCAGTTTTGGGGAGCTTCTTATCGACTTGAGGAAACTTTATAGTAAACAAAAAATGCTCAACATTTTTGTATTAATTATTTAATTGATTATTTGGGCTGGCAAAGAATTTAATCATTTCCTGAGTTTTAAACAAATTTTGAAAAATTAATTCCAAATTTATTTATTCAAATTCTAGATCAATTATTTTTCAATATAGAGCAAAGTTTTATTAAAAACACTTTTTATAGAGTGGTAAGGACTTGTATCAGGTACATTCCTTTTATTTCTTTTTTTTTTTTTTTGTTTTTTTTTTAGTTCAGTAATTCTCCTATAAAACATATCCCCACATTTCCTACTGGGATGCACATATACATACACACACACACATACAAACTTAAAATACTTATGCCTATTAGCTATTTAGTGTAAAATATAATCAAGAAATAATAATTTTTTACTTGTGGCTGTGTTAATTGTATATAGTGACATTATTTACCCTCCTCTGCTTATTTGTATCTAAATCAAACAAGTTTTTTCTTTACTCTTTTCGGTACTCTGTTCTTATCTATCAAAAAAAACAAAAAAACCAAAACCAAAAAAAAAACAAAAATCAATCTACTGCATATTTTGTTCCTACACACGCTCTTCTACTACTACATAAATGCATAGGCTAAACCGGGCACTGTAAGTAATGGTTCACCTAATCTTGGGCATCGACCCATCTACGTAGTATTCAGTTTGGCTTCTTGTTCCCTAACCGTTATGTACTTAACCCATCAAAGCAAGCAATTAAATAGTTTAAAGTTGATTTTTTTTGTTTTCTATAATTTTTAACTACTTTGTTTGATTTGCGGGGGGCGCTTCCACAAGACTAGAAAAACAGTTTGCGCTACTTTCGCTTGAATGCGATCATGAATCAAGTTTGTTAACCTATTAAAAGCCCTTGTTAAATTATTTATTTCTCTACTAAATAATACCATCACGAACCAAAATTAAAATAGAACCGACGCGTACCGCTAATATTGGATACCCCGCAGGTAATTTGTCACTCAAGTAATATCAGCGGGCTCTCAATCTCAATCTCAATCTCATTGCGCGTTGTCTAGGCAACAAATTGGCAGTTCAAATGGCAAAGAATTTCCTAAATTTCGGTTTCACCATCTCTAATTATCTGTGATATTTATTTTATTTAATAAAACGGGGCTGCAAAATCTAAAAAAAAAAAAAATGTTTAAAAACAATTAATAATAAGTAAAAAATGATTTAATTAATCGACAACAAGAATTTTAATTCAAGAAAAGAGTTGCCGATGTAACATAAATAATAAAAAAAATATATATAAAAAATAAAATAAATTAAATAAAAAAAAAAAAAAAAAAAAAAAAAAAAAAATTTATATTTAAATTTTTT